TGTCCTGTGGCTCCTCCTGACCCTGTCCACCCTTCCTCTGGGCTTTCCGTCCTCCCTCTCCACCTGGCGGAGGTGGGCAGACCCCTACTCGGCCTTCCCTATGCTGCTGTCTCCTTCAGGGAAGCCATTTACAGAGGATCAAGAACCCCTGCCACATGTCCCCCAGGCACAGGGAGCACGAACAAATCCCCCAGTGTCTCCAAAGGCCCCCTTGCCCTGCTCCGAGCTGGGCCCTGCCTCTTCTTCCCTCTACCTCTGGGCTCCCTGTCCCTCTGGGCTCAGCTGACCCTCCACTCAGCACCAAGTCTCTTGTTGCTGCCACTGCCACCGGTCTCCAGAACTCGCTCCTTCCACCCTCTGGGAAGCCGAGGATTCCTCTTCCCAAGACACAACCACTCATTAGCTGGCCCACGGGACTCCGTGGAGAGCCACTAATGATCCCGATTCCCACACACAACCTCCTGGGCCCGGCAGAGTTGTGCGACTCATCGGGTCCTTGCCACGTCACAAGTCTGTCCACAAACATTTCCTGATGCCACAGAGCCTGAGAGGTCGGCCCCAGCGCCTGCGTTACCCACCCCCCCCCAACTACAGGGGCTGGCCTTGGGCAAGATCAAAGACTGGGGAGCACCGCAGAGAGATCACGCCCTCCACCCCTGCGCAGCCCCACTGCTGCTCTCCCACCTATCTCCTCCTGAGTGGTACTGGGTGGGGATGGCACCCAGGGCCTCACGCACTACCACTGAGCTAAGCCCCCAGCCCTGGGGTCTCTCTGTTGCCCAGACTGGCCTCCAGCTCCCGGGCTCAAGGCATCCTCCTGCCTCGACATCCCAGGCCTGGGATTGCGGGCTCCACATGGGCCCTGTTTTCTTCATGTGAAAAGCTACACAGTACAACTGCGAGACCAGTCCCCGAGTCCCCTGCCCCACAAACATGCCACCTCCCAGACCTGTCTACAGAGAAATTCCAACACACAACCTCCTGGGCCGGCAGAGAGGAAGGGGGGGGGTCTTAAAGTCTTAAAGGTTGGTGGGAGGTCGGGGGAGGAACAGCCCAGCCCAGCAAGTAAGGAGAAACCTTGGCCATTTGGGGGTGGGCGGGGCACCTTATGGGGAAACCATCAAGGGGAACCAGGGCTCCCCTCCCTCTGGGGAGAAGAGTAAAGGGGAAGGAGGAGGTGGGTGGGGTCTCCGGTCCCAGGCAGCTGACTATGGCATTTGTCCACTGGCTCTGCCAAGAGCAGCTCAGGGCTTGGCATGGGGAGAGGGGTGAGAACGGACTTCACTGGATGGACGCCCCCAGGCTGGGCCCTGACCATGGAGTCCACACAGTCCCTCAGGCTGGAGATCACCCCACCCCACATGCTTTACAGGTAGAAGCCAGAGGACCAGAGGGTTTAAGAGAATCTAAGGGAACGTTCACAGGGCAAGCCCCCCAGGAGCCGCCTCCTGCCTGGGGCCTGGATCCCACCCTGCCTTTGTCTCCCCCAGCGCATGCCGCATGCCCACAGGGCCTCCCAGACAGGGCTCCCAGACAGGGCCTCCCAGATATCCGAGGCCCCCACCACCGAAGAGTCCTTTTGTCTTTTAAGACACCAGGAACCCACCCCCCCACTCTGGAAGCATCCAGGGGAGGGACCCTGCTGACCACGAAGGCAGCTTTCTTCAAGTAGATGACTGTGCCCCAGCAAGCTCGCTAGGTGACCAGCAGAATGCGGGAAGGAACAAAATGGAATTTATATTCTTATTTTGTTTTTAATCTTAGCCTTCTAAAAGTTCTTTTGTGGGGGTACTGAGGATGGAACCCAGGATGGATCACTAAGCTACATCCCCGGACCTTTTTATTGTGACTCAGGATCTCACTAAGTTTCCCAGGCTGGCCTCACACTTGCAATCCTCCTGCCTCAGCCTACGAAAGAGCTGGGATTAAGGGCTGGGGTTGTGGCTCAGTGGTAGAGCACTTGCCTTGCATGCGTGGGCCACTGGGTTCGATCCTTAGCACCACATAAAAATAAATAAAAATAAAATAAAGATATTGTATCCATCTACAACTAAAAAATTTTTTTTTATTTAAAAAAAAAAAAGAAAGAAAAGAAATAGCTGGGATTACAGGCCTGTGCCACCAAGCCCAGCTCTAACTCTTCCATTTCAGTGTATATTATAACGTACACATTAACGCAGCAGAACTTACATGCCACTCAGCACAGTGGTTCACGTCTATAGCGCAAGCAACTGGGAGTCTGAGGCAGGAGGATCACAAATTTGAGGCCAGACTGGGCAATTCAGTGAGACCCTCTCTCAAAAAAAAAAAAAAAAGGTCTGGGGATGCTGCTCAGTGGTAGAGTGCCCCTGGGTTCAGTCCCCAGTACCAGGAAGAAAGAAAAAGGAAAAAAAAAGCCCAACATTACTCTGAAGCTCGTGGACAGGGGGGCTGGGGGCGAGGCTCTGGTCATCATCGGGAATTGGGTTCCTGACCAGGCCAGTGGAAGAGACTGGAACGCTTCCGAAAGGGGTGTTTCCCAGGCCCAAGGCGGGACTTGATGCTGAGTCCTGAGGCTAATTGTCTCTCCAAGTGACTAAAGTGTGACTGTGGAGTGAGCCACCACCAAGTTTCTGTAAATCCAGGGGTGACTGCCCCAGTTGTGTTTCAGGAAGGAGAGTCGCCCGGGTCCCGGGTGCTAGGGAGCCTGACCTGCCCATTACTGTGCGACAGGAGAAGTGGAAGGGACGGCTGGGGTGGCCTTGTAGACCCTCAGTACAAGGTCATCCTGCCACTTGGGCACTCTCCCCTCCAGGGCTCAGGGCCCCCTGTCACCCATTCGGTAAGTACACCAGTGGGTGCCCATCACAGCAAAACCTAATTGGGAACCCAGAACAGGGGCTGGGGACTGTGGATTCCAGGAAACATGGATTTCCCATCTGAATTGAGGTGTGGCCACAGGTACCCCATCAATTGAGCAGACAAGTGCCCAGGCCCCCTCTGAAGATGGCCAGGGAGTTAAGAACTGAGGGGGTCAGGAGGGTGGGGCCACATGATCTCCCTCGAAGGCAGAGGAGGCCTGGCTACCCACTGATGGACAGGCCTAGTAAATAGGTAGATGGGGCATTATTCCCATTTCACAGATGAGGAAACCGAGGCCCAGAGAACAGAGACTTCTGCTCTTTCTAAGCAAGCCTTAGCTGGTCCACATGCAGTGATGACTCAGGCTTGACTCCCATCCCCATCCCCCACACTCCTGCATCTGCTCGTCTGATAGAGAGACCCCTGGGGGAGTTGGGAGCCATGAGGTCCAAACCTGCTCCATCACTGCTCCCCGTGTGGAGCGTGAACAAATCATGTCTTCTGAGCCTCCGTTTCCTTGTGTGTATAATGGGTTGATTGCCTCCACCCCACCCCCTACTTCTCTTCCCCAGAAGCACATTCCAAGAGGCTGAACCCATCTGGGATGCGGGAGGTCAAAGGGCGGCCTCAGGGGTGCTGTGTTTGCCTCTCACAGAGTGGATTTCCCGTCTGAACTGAGGTGTGGCCACAGGTACCCCAGCGACTGAGCAGACTAGTGCCCAGGCCCCCTCTGAAGATGGCCAGGGAGTTAAGATGATGTGGACGGTTCCTGCTGGCTCAGGTCGACCTGCCCCAGACCCGCTGACTTCACCATTTCTCCCAAGACCTCCTTCCCCTCTCCCCAGCTCTTCTCCTACTCTGGCCCCGAGCGGCTTCAGCTGGTCCAGATCCCTCCCTCCGGTCCACAGTAGTCCTCACATCACCCTGGGAGTGGCTTTAGGTATCCATTTCCCAGCGGGGGTGGGGAACATGCTTGAGAGGCAGCGAAGGGCCTGTCCCACCCAGAGCCTGGGCTCTTTGTACATCACTTCCCTGTCTCCCCTCAGTTCCTTCCTCTGAGGGTTCCGAAATGTACCCAACCATGGCCAATCCATCACATGGAAAATTATGCAGCCATTAAAAAGAATGATTACATAGACTCAAATGATCAAGAACACCATGAGAAAATGGTGAGAGGAAAAGCAAGACATAAAAACTGTGAATAGGGTATGATACAATTATATTTAAGTGATCATAAATAAAAATGACTAGAAGGAACAGACCCAAGTAAAGGCAGTGGTTCTGCATGTGTCTTCCTTTTCTTTCTTTCTTTTCTTTTCTTTCTTTCTTCCTCCCTTCCTTCCTTTCTTTTCGCAGTACTTGGATTGAATCCAAGGGCTGTACCACTGAGCTACATCCCCAACTCTTTTCATCATCATCATTATTATTATTATTATCATTGAGACAGGGTCTCACTGAGTTGCTGAGGCTGGCCTCTAACTTGCCTTAGCCTCCTGAGTAGCTGCGATTACAGGAGGCCTGAGCCATCATGCCTGACTTGACTTAATACCACAGAAGATTTCCTATTCTTCTCTATTTACCAAATAGTCAATCAGCTCACGCTTCTTTTACAATGAAGAAAATATCATGTAAAAAAATATATATATAATAATAATACATTTGTGGCCTGGCTCGGTGGCGCACGCCTGTAATCCCAGCAGTTTAGGAGGCTGAGGCAGGAGGATCGTGAATTCAAGGCCCGCCTCAGCAATTTAGCTAGGCTCTAAGCAACTCAGCGAGACCCTGTCTCAAAATAAAATATAAAAAAGGGCTGGAGATGTGGCTCAGTTCAGCGCCCCTGGGTTCTAACCCTGGTACCCAAAAAATAAATAAATAAAATTCTAAAATAACAAACATTTGTGGTGAAGTCTCTGAAAACTTGCCACTTCCTCCTCAACTTCCTTTCTGCCTCAGATCCCTCCCAAGCCTGCGTCCTCAGGACAACGAAGCCACGACCCGGAGACAAAGAAGGGCTCTGGGAGCAACAGGCACCTCCGGGGACCCGCGCTCAGCTCCTGCTCCCCGCGACCAGCCTCCCCGACAAGGCGTCCCCTCCGCCCCGGGAGGTCGCGACCCCGGCGCGGCCCCCAGCCCTACCCCCAGCTGCGGCCGGCGCTCACCTGGCCCGGGAGGTCGGCTCCGAGACGCGCACACCTGTCGCTCCAGGTGAGGAGTCGGCCGGCCGGGCGCGCGCGGGGCGCAGGGAGCCGGCCGGGGCGGGGCGGGGGCGGGGCCGTGACGTCACCGCCAGGTCCCGCCCCGGCCCCGCGGCCCCGCCCCGGCTCCCGGCCTCGGCCCCGGGTCGGTGGTCTCGTGCTTGCGCGGAGAGGTGCCCGCAGCTCCACGGACGCGCACGCCCAAGGAGCCTCCCAGGGCGGCCCTGGGGCCTGGGGGACCTCAAGGACAGGTTCACCCCCTGGTTTAGCTCGAACTGTCTGGTCCTGGACTCCGGGTTCAGGTCACCTGGGTGCAGGACGGTCCCGGGGTGTCCTTCTGTCGGTGCCCCCCGCCCCCGTGCCTCCCTGGATCCCACCCTCCTGGGCCGGGTGGGGGAGGGGAGGGTGGCGCCCCGCGGTTGGCTGCTCCTATCTTGGGATCTCCCCACATGCGGGGTCTGTATCTGTCTTCTCTGCATTATCTGAGATTGTATTTGACAAAATTCTTTGTTGACGCAGCAGCCGGCTTATGGTGGTCAAGGGCAGAGGTCAAGGGCTTTGGAAAGGTGCCCACTACCCAAAAGCTTTAGAAATGTGTTTGCCGTGGACCAGCAACTCCATTTTTGGAAATCTGTCCTGAGGAAGCTGTCTAGAAGATGCGTGTTCGTGTGGAGTTCATTATGAGGAAGAAAATTAGAGCGAGGGTGTCAACAAAAGGGCATTGGTTAACAGCACCAACACCACGGAGTATTACACAAGCATTAAGAGTATGTTTACAAACAGTTTATGATCACATGAGGAAATATGTTACAATGTGGAGAGAATAAAAGCAGGGTGTAAATATGTAGTGACAGCAGGATTACAGTTGAACTTCAAAACAAAATACAATTTGTTCGTACAGAGGAACATGGAAGAAACTGTGCACGGAGCCACCTCCCCAGCCCTTTTTTGTATTTTATTTAGAGCCAGGGTCTCACTGATGGCATCTCGCTGTTGCTGAGGCTGGTTTTGAACCTGGCTGAGGCTTGTTCTTTATCCTTCTCTTTTCACACATTTTCAACATCCAGTGGACTTATTTCACTCTTATGAAATTCCTTTGTTTCTTAAGTTCCCATTAATTGAGCACCTACTATGATCGTATAAGCCCCTGTACAATCCTTGCACCAGCCCTGGGGTAAGAATTATTGTATCCCTCATGTTACTAGTGAGGAAAAGAAGTTCTGAGAGTTTCATTACCAGGGTCACATGAGTCCCAAGGGCCAGCCAGGCCTTTCTGTGTTACCAACAAGGGGACCTCTTAAGCAGTCTCCTCATTATCCGCTGAGCTAAAAGGGCCACCAGACTCAACTGTCTGACAGGAGCCAGGAGGGAACTGTCCTGTCACCCTTGGTAATAATTTCAAGGGGAGGCGATGCAAGAGGGGCCCTGGGGTGTGGGGGAAAGAGCCCAGCATGCCCTTCCCTGGACAGGGGGCCCCTCTCTCCCACCCAGGAGGTTTTGAGCCCTGCCTGGAATCCCTCAGGGAAGACAGACTCCCAAGGTGGAGTTGAAGGCTAAGAAGTCAGCTAGTTCAGCCACCTCGGTTAATTTTATATCTTTAATATGTTTTTCTGATTATGAAAGTAATAGATATTTAGTAGAAAATTGGGGAACTCAATATAATATGAAGTAGAAAATAAAATTTAACCCAATACTCGGCATGGCGGTAATTGAAACGACTTGGGAGGCTGAGGCAGGAGGATCACAATTCGAGTTCAGCCTCAGCAATTTACTGAGACCCTGAGCAACTTGGTGAGACCCTGGGGCTGGGAATGTGGCTCAGTGGCAAAGCACTCCTATGTCCAATCCCTAGTACCAAAAAAGAAAAAAAGAAGAGTCGCTGGGCCAGTGGTACACACCTATAATCCCAGCAGCTCAGGAGGCTGAAGCAGGAGGATTGCGAGTTCAAAGCCAGCCTCAGCAACTTAGTGAGGCCTTAAATATTTTAAATATTTTATTTAGAGACCCTGTCTCTAAATAAAATATTTTAAAAGTCTCAGTGGTTAAGTGCCTCTGAGTTCAATCCCTGGTACCAAAAAAAAAAAAGTCAACCCATTTAATACTTTACCTTTTATTATTGCATATATATATATATATATATATATATATATATATATATGCCTTTATTTTATTTATTTATTTGTATGTGGTGCTGAAGATGGAACGCAGGGCCTCGCACGTACTAGGTGAGTGCTCTATGGCTGAGCCCCCGCCCCCGCCCAATGGCAAAATTTAAACATACAACAATTTGAAGTCACAGTACCCTGTGGCCGTCCCACCTTGTAGGGACACTGTTTGGTCGGTAGCTTTAGGGTCCTTAGCCTCATCCTTCTGTCATCAAGCTTCCTATCCGCCTTTCAGCCACCGTGTCCCCTGGTGGCGTCCGCTAGGCCTGCTACTCCACCCTTCAGCCAAGCCGAGAGAACCCCGGGTCCCTGCGTGAGAAGCAGCCGCTGGGGGCACCAGCCCTGTGTGCGCCGCTCGGTGCAGCCCTTCACAGGAGCCGACTCCACGACCCTCTCACCTGCCCTTTGTGGGTGCCTAACATTACGATGGCCCTTCGTGAGTCACACCAGGAGATTCTGCAGGACAGGGAGACGGGAAGCCCGGCTCCTGTTCGGTAAAGGACAGGGCAGGCAGAGGACCCCAAGGCAGGAGTCCGGGAAGTCTTCCCCCGAGGGAGGGACCGCGGCAGCCTCCGCTCTGTGTAGGCTTCGCCTTGGGGAGTGAGGCAGCGGAGGGGACCCTCCACCCGAGTAAGGCCTGAGGTGTGACTTGGGCTGTGGCCAAGGACTCCGTTCCTCACCACACAGGACCTCACACGAATGTCTGCCCTTGGGCAGGAGGAAGAGGGCGAGGCCCACGGCATGCTTAGGCCATGAGAACAAGGTATGGAGAGTGCATGGAGCGCTGGACATGAGTGGACCTCCTCCGGCTGCGAGAGGGGCCTGGGTGATGCTTGAGAGCCTAAGAGTTGATGGAAAGAGGCCTGGGAGGTCAGCAGCTCCCGTCCCAGGAAGGAAGAAGCCTCCCCAGCCCTCGTCCTCAACACCAGCCCCAGGATTCTGGTCACAGGGATCCACCCAGATACCCCAAATGATGAGTTGGAAAGAACTCCTGCAAACCCTAACTCAAAGTGCTTCTTATAATGTATTTGATGTTATGTGCATAGAATAACTCTGGAAGGTTCTAGAAGGAAGACATTATTAGCAGGTCATGCTTTCTTCACATAGTTTTGTCTTTTTCCCCAGTGCTAGGGATCAAACCCAGGGCCTCATACATGCTAGGCGAGGGCTCTACCACCAAGCCACATCCCCAGCCCATGCTTTCCTTAATATGTAAAGAACATCTAGAAGTCAATAAGAAAAAGAAAATGGAATGTAAACATGACTAGGAATATGAACAAGAGTTCACAAGAAAGGAAACACGGACTTTTTAAAGGCAGGTAAAGATGGCAACCCCACTGGCAATAAGAAAAAAGGAGATTTAACCTACTGAGATTCTACTCTTTCCTGTGGGTCCAGGAAAGACAAAGAAAATCGGTCCCGTTGAGTGCGAGGCTCCAGGGAAGGAAGCAGGCACCCCCACCTGGGGAGTACCTTGGCACACGCGGAAGCTGGGAGGGCTGTGTCTGTGGAAATGACATTGCACATTTCTTTTGTCCCAGGAATTCAGGCTCAGGTGTGTTTTAATCACCTGGGAGGGAGTGGCCTAAGCCCCTGTGTGCACAGCATTAATATCAGATAATGAAATGGTCACAGAACATCCAACCAATGGAACCCAATAAACCGTGCAGATGGATCAAGAGGCTCTTTCCGTACAGATGGAGAAAGCCCTGCACGGAGTGTCTGTCAACGGGGAAGTGGGGTCCCCAGGACGGTTCCGGTTTGTGGTTATTCACTGTACAAAGGCAGGGAGGGGCCACACCAGCCTTTTCTATGTGTTGATATGGCTGTCTCTGGCTGGCACTCGGAGAGGCTGGAGACAGGGTGGTTTCCTCCCAGAGAGACGAGAGTGGCTGAGGACAGAGAGGAACCAGGGAGACCTGTTACTTCTTTGGTAACTGAATTTTGCCCGACATGAAGTCTTTTTCTATCCCCCAAATAAAAGTGAATTACCCGGTGCAGTGGCGCATGCCTGTGATTCCAGCAACTCGGGAGGCTGAGGCAGGAGGATTGCTAGTTCAAGGCCAGCCTCAGCAATTTAGCAAGGCCCTAAACAACTCAGTGAGACTCTGTATCTAAATAAAATATTTAAAAGGGCTAGGGATGTGGCTCAAGTGCTTAAGCACCTAGGGTTTAATCCCTAGGACCAAGAAAACTAAAAGTAAGAATTTCAGGGTCCATTTTACAGGGAGGAAAACCAGATGGGCCAGCAATCGGCTAGCTCCTCCCCTACAAGGCCCAGAATGGAGGAGGGCGGGAGGGCCAGGGGAAGCTGGGAAGCCAGGAAACCTGCTCTGGTGGTCTTGGGAGGGCTCTTTCCCTAGGTTCCTGGCTTGGTCTCCATAGCTGCCTCTCCTTCATTCAGATGAAGAAACTGAGGGTCACAGTGGGAGCATGGCACCTGGGCTCACAAGTCCCATCCATGGCACCCCACCTGCCCTGGCCCCACACCATGCCACCCCAGCTGGCGTGACGAATTTCTCATTTAACTGGCGCCAGCCCCTTCAGTCTAAACTTTCTGGTCATTTGACCAAAGTGGACCATTGTTTGCCTAAATTACATTTTATTAAAAGAAAAAAAAAATTGGCTAAGCGGATTGAGAGAGTGGTCACAGGACTGGAATGGCTCGGGGCTGGATTTACCAGGGACTGGTCTCAGCTGGCCCATTCGCTGGATTATTTAGGGAGTTTACTTTAAATTCAGCAGAACTTGGGTTCTGAATAGGCCTGGATTTGGAAAGAAATTCGATTCAATTAACTGGTTCCTTGACAAAATTAACGGGGTATTTTTTTGGATTGAATTATGGTGTTTCTTTCAAAACTTAATCTTCCTTTTCTCTCTGAAGCTTTT